AAATTAGATAGTAAAAATCCTTCCATAAAAAAGGAAAGTGGGGATAAAGATAGCTCCACACAGAAGAAATCGACACAATCTCCTAGAAGTAACATATCCAACAAAACTAGCGCCATCCATTATCTGAAATTCCAACAAACTACCGAAATAGAAAAGGCGGAGAGCGAGAAGCATAAGCATACTTGGTGCAATGGAGCGAGATCAAAGGATGTTCCTCCAAACTTTTCTAGTTAACAGACATAATTTTTCCTATTTTCTTACAGATCGTCACTATGCACTTGTCTAGTACAGAGCAAAACAATTGTATAAAGAACCAAAGGACAAATGATTAGTACAGGATCAAAAGGAGCGTGGGATCCGAGGATATCTCGGGATAACACCAAAATCAGTAATATATAGGTCTATTTAAAATTTTGTATATTTGTTAAAAATTGATTAGAAATTTGTATGATAATGATGATATAGTCCTAAAACGTTAACAATTGAAAAAATTGAAAATAGTAGAAATGAAAATGGACCAACGCATGCTTGAGATAAATGATGACAGAGACAATGTGAAATTGTCGATCAACTTTTCAGCTTTGCAATTTGCGGCCATTTTATCATTATGAACAAAAAAAAGAAATAAGATATATCAATTTAATTTCATACGCTAGATTGTAGTTTTTGTATCGGAAGTCCCAAAGGAATAGATGAATCAAGAAAAATTAGCTCTTACGAACGAGATATCGTAGTCTTTGAAAGCACTGCCGTTATATAATAAATGTGTTTTATAAATAAATAAAATAATTTGAATGGTATAAAGAAATTCATGTAAGATTTATATTGATAGCCAATATTTTTGAATCATGTACTGATGTACATATAGTAGTGAATCTTCAATTATTCAAGTATATAAGATTGTTTTGATTTATTTAATTACATATTTTGTGTTTATTCCACGATGAATTTTTCTCAGTAAATAATTATGTCAGTATTTACGCCGAACTACTGACATTATGCTTGATAACATAAAGGTAGAAAAAAATATATAGTCACCTATCTACGTTTTATACAATATGCCAATACAGAAATAAATAAATTGGATTTATTGTCATCAATCATCATATGGATCTGTAAAGTTATACTTTTATTAGTTAGGTAATCTTGCAGTTACACAAATAGAAATGATTGGAACTTAAATAATACCTGACATGATTTCAAGCACTGCAAAGATTCAAAAATAGTAAGTCCTTTTTATTTTCTGTCTTTTGGACTAAATTCTGTGAATCTTACCCTTATAAATTTTGTAATTTGGTCTCGAGTCTTTCCTCTTTATGGCAAAACTCGTGCGGTCTCATTTCTACTCAATAATCATATCTTAGGTCTACCAGCTTTGCCTTTCGGAAGTTAATGGACTGGGCATTTTTCTTAGACGTAACCTTAACATATATACACAAAAATTGTTACTAATTTACGGAATAACAATTAGGTGTCAAAAATATGTTTTAATACCAAAAAATGAGCCGATGCAGAAATCTAAAAGCAGACGTTATACGTACATTTGATATGATGTCTCATTAGCGAACACACATCATATACTTTAACATTTTTCATTACTGGACATCGATCCATCTACATAATTTTTTTTTTGTATTAATCTCACATATTTTTTTATTTCATTTCTTAAAAGTGATACAGTTGATATATATATATATATATATAGTATTACGACTAATTCTTTGAATTTGAAAATTATCAGAGATCCAAAATATCCTGCATTTCAAACTCGAACTGTATACTTTTTTTTTTATTGCAAATCCGATCGTTCAAAAAACAACCACAGCAAAAATAAACGATACATTTATCTTTGATAGTCAAGTACTCAAGTATACGTTTTGTCGATGCTGATTTGGCTATATATTATTTTACTTTTTTGTTTGGTCGAAGATGATTTGGCTATATGATCAACTGGGGAGTTAAAACTTCTTTGAATCTATGTTGGCTCTATACAAAACGAGTTTGACGTTAAACTAATTAAAGAGAAAGAAATCATAGGACAAACGAATATATACCTAAAAATTACTTCATTAGAACCTTTGAATATTATTTCCGCCCATCATAATCTTTTCGTAGACTCTTCACATCATCGCCAAAAAATTACACTGCACAACCCACTACTCATCTGATCGTCATTATATTTGTAATATCATGTGGTTCTCGCACTTTTCATAATATTTGGTCTGCTTTTTTTTTTAAAGCTCTCTTTTTTGTAACAATATAAGCTAACGCGGTTTAAGAGTAGAAATATTTTAGACTTTTTAAAAATGGGAGTAATATAAAACTCTAAGATTCACATCAAATGTGTAACGCCTGATTTTGGATATCCACATCTTCCGGTTCAATTTTTGGTGCTATATAGCGTTAGCTTATGTTTTATCTTCACATATAGCATATATTCTAGCTAGATGGCAAATATATATACATAAAAAAAAAGATAGTCTATATGTGAAGATAAAACATACATGTAAAAATATTTTGTCTTCTAAAGTATTTAGAATATATGCTATATGTGCTGCGGGGTATTTCTCATTCAGTGGATAATCTAGCATTACTGTTCCAAGAAACTTTTTTTTTTTTTTTTGCTATTTTATCGTTTTTACTTTCCCTCCCAGGGGTTCACAAAACTTGAAAGTCCAATGTTGGTTTGGAACCAATTTTTTTTAGTAGTTGTAACAGTTCCGTTATACTGAACTAAAAACAGAAATTTCAACCCCAAAAAATAAAATATTTAGAATATCAACATGTTAGCACAACTTTATTTGAATCAAACCACTTCATTTGGTCGTTTTGATGAATGTATATTCATGAGAAAGTGGAAATTAATAAGTTAAATAGTGGGATGGGGATGGGAAAATTGCCATTTTGGGAAAGGTGTGTCTCGTTAAATGAGTTTGGTCTACGGGAGGGGCCAAATTTAAGGTTTGTGCCAAATTGGTTAACCATAAATGAGAGATGGGTTCATGCACATGGACGACATTGTCTCAACTTTTATTTTGGATCTTGATGCACATGTCTTGTTCTCATCTATACATACATACATGATACACTGTATATAATCTTACCTGGGTCACATCCATGACACATCTCCTCTCAGTAGCCACAAATAATGCAGCACCCACTTTGGCATATCTATAAGTTATACATATATATATATATATATATATATATATATCAAATTTCTTTTAAACGCCAATTTTGGCAAACGTCAATGGCACACAAAAATTTTCCTTCGGTTTACGTCGGGTTACCAAAATAATTAAAAGATGTATACAAGATAACGGTACAGGATAGCGATATAATTAACAAAAAACGGTATATAAACACGTTAGTTAACAACAAAAACATAATTTTCTAAATAATATATGTTGTACTCCCTCCGTTTCACAATCGTTTTAGAATTTCAATGTAATTTTTAACATAAAATACTATTTTTAATTTCAATAAATTCAGAAAATTAATTATAAATATGATTTTAAGAGTTATTTTCTGCAAATTAATAAGGGTATAAGAGACATTTTATCTTATTTTTTAATTTATGTGAAGAATGTCAGAACGACACTCTTTGTGAAACGGAGGAAGTAGTATATATGAAATACCGTTTTCTCATTTAAAGTACTGATAAAGTTCGTTGTTTCATCTAATCAAAACAAAACATTTTACAATATATAGCACGTACGTTGAAAGTTGAAATACATTATATGAGATGATTACGCTTACTTTCATGTGTATAAGTAATAAATACTCATGTGTATTTTCATGTGTATTACTAAAGACTAGATGCGTTGACCCAAAAAATGACTAAAATCTAGATAGTTGACCCAAAAATAAATTACTAAAGACTAGATACGTTGACCCAACAAAAATTTACTAAAGACTAGATACAAGGTGTAAGACATTCAAAGAAAATTATGCTTGGAATAAAAACAACGAAACGACCAGAATCGTCAACAATGGCTGAACTTGTTCATACGATTTGTCAATTTATCTGTACCACTTATTGTATTTGAATCCAAGTAGGTTGCGTAATATAAAATGTCTGAAATTTACTCTACTTCCAGAATTTTGTTTTGAATCCACCAAAAGTTTTGGCCTCCAGGCTCAAATGCATATATTTCTCCTAAAATAATATATTTCTCTCTGTTGAGATAAATTGATAGAAGCATAAGTACTTTAACTAATTTATACGCATTCTTGTGTTTCTTGAAGAAGGGAACAAAAATCAAAAATCAATGTTTGTTATACATGATGTATATGTATGATATATTCGATTATAACACCCTCTTTTTCATTTTTAACGATATTAATTGACAATATACTGTTTTTCCATCAATTTACTATCTTATGGTTTACGCAACTGCCCTTTAGAATATTGTTGAAGCTTGACCAGATAGTGGATAATGCTTCATGATGTGATCTAAGCTTAGTAACCCACTAATGTGCATTCCATATAGACTAGATTCCTATATATCTGCGTGTGGTTTTCATGTAACGTTAACATCACAAACTGATGTATGCCTCGGAGATAACCAATTCTTTAAAACAAAGAAAAACAAAAAATGTTGTGAATAAAATTGAGTTAATTTAGCGGCTTTAGTTTGAGTGGATTTGTTTGAAGACTGATCTCAGACATTGATTGCTGTTATTTTCTACTTGGTCTTTGTAATTGTAGGCACACGATGAAATCTGTAAAACAATCATATTCGAGAAAAGAAGATCAGCAAATCAGCCCAACCATTGATAGTCTTTGTATGTGAAACATTGATAGTCTTTGTATGTCCAACCAACCTATCAATGAGATTGAGAGTTTCAATTTATAGCCCAACCATTGATAGTCTTTGTATGTGAAACAACCTCAACATTACTGGACCATATATTTGCTCAGGCCCAATAACAGAAGATCAGCAAATCAGCATAAACAGTTCTAGTCGGTTTTTCAATTCTGAAAATATATTCGTCAACATTTATCTTTGTAACCACAAGATTCATCACCAATAATTAATCATATCCTTCTTTAGTAGTAACTACTATAATAAAAACCTGCACATAGAAATTAAACAAACCATCACCGTCGATCAGATCAATCCAACGATCATAACAATCCATGAAATTTTTTTTCTCAGTAAAGATCGAGGACGTCAAAGATCGAACGGTTACAAAGAGGACACGTCCCACGGTTCATCCAGATCTCTCTTGAACACACTCTACAATACGTATGTCCACAGGGGATAAAAGCCGCACCTTTCTCCCTTCCCATACACACGCAACACACTGGATCACATCCCAACCACGTCGTCCCATCGCAACCGTCCGTTTCCGCCAGCAATTTCATCAACGGTACCTTAGCTACTTGAGTCTCCCTCACGTGTTCACCACGCGCTAGTCTCTCCTCAGCAAGAGCCTCCGCGAGGTTCCTTGTGCCACGTGTCAAACAATCCGGTTCCCCAACCAAACCCGGACCCGAATCCGACAAGTCAACGACCGGGTTTTGACCCGAGTAATGTTCGTCGTCTTCGTCATCTTCCTCGGCGATTGGCGTCTCCGATTCTCTGAGACGCAAAGTGGGCCCACCGCAACAGCTGACCCAATCAAATCTCAGCCGTCGTTTCAACGTTCCCCACTTGCTCATCGTTCGATCTCCACCGTCGATTCGATCTTCTTCGAGCAAACTCAACATCATCGTCCTCCCACTCTCGGTTCCATCCGCCGATTCTCTGAGCAAATCTCCGAGTTGACTCATCGTGACTCGGACGCAAAAAGAGAACAAACAAAAACCCAAAATTCAAGAAAGAAGTAACCGTTTTGGAGATTCTATATAACTACGCTAAAATTCACGAGAAACTTAAAAGCTTTAATGGCTCCACCCAATAAATGCTTATGCAAAGACACTGGTATTTCTGAGTTTACGTTGATCACAATTCACAACATATTTGGATATAAATATACTAAATGATTTCATCTTCTAATAGTAATACAAATGGACAAAATGACAAACTTAAGAGAAGAAGAAAAAAAAGAGAGAACATCATAACAATTAGTAGTTTAGTGGGTACCACTCATCAGTACGTATTTGACTTACATTTTGTATTATAGGGAATCGCATCGTATATCTCATTTTTAATTTTTATATGATCTTATATTATTTGTCATTGTTAGTTTTATTTCGTTTTTAATAAAAAAAGATTATTTGTCCGTTAGGGAAGCATGAAGCATCAATTGTCAAATGTTGCTTCTTCAAATAAAAGTTCTTATATTAATCAATGATTGGATGTCAATAAACAAACCACAAAATTAAAGGCGTCAAATTAGGTTTTGATTCGCGGATTCGGCCCAAGTAAAACCGCAGTAGTACAGACTTGGGTTCCATAAAATTTGTCTAAATAAAAAGCGGATTTTGTGATTTAAACCCGCGTGGAAATTGAACTTTTGCGGGTTGGATCAGATCAGATCCGCGGTTTTGCGGGTCAACCCACAGAATTTAATGTTTTCTTATAAAGTTCGAAAAGTGAAGTATTTTATCATTTTTGATTGGTGGATTTCGAAGTAGTAGTTTTATGGAGTGAATCGAAGCCTATCAGAATCATACAATTCAGCTATTAGACTTTGTGATAGCTTCATTTCAATGAGATTAAGGAATCATCAAACTGGTATGTGTTTTATATTCGATTCAGATTCTGTGATTGGATTTTTGAATTTGGAAGAAAATCTGGTCATTGTCTTCCCAGCTAAAAACTAGTATTTTTTGTTTAGAGTTTTAATTTCAGTTTAATGTCATAAGTTTGCTTTTTTGTTGGTTTTGTTCATCGACTATATCACGGATGTGGTTTTTATTTTGTCCGCAGCGATGCAAAGGTAATTTAGAATCGCTTAAAACTTGAATTGACAATAAATAGGTTTGTTTGAGAATCACATTTGTTTGTACGCTGGATTAACAAATAAACTTTGTTCATCTTTTTTTTTTGAATTTATATGTGAATGTCTTGTTGCTTGTATATTGATGGTTATCTAGCTTAAATTACCACTTTTGATGTGTATCATTATTTGTAATTCATTTATTTGCTTTTCAAAACTAAGTGTCTATTTTTACCGTTAAATTGATTTTTCAAATCTTATAGCATCTTAGGGTTAGGAGTTTTGTATAAGAGGTTTATTGAATTCATTTGTTTGTTCATCGAATTTACTTAGACAAGAATTTTCTTCAGTTTTGTTTCTTATGCATATTATGATTCAATTACGAGCAAAATTTTATTCTCTTCTTGCAAATTTTCTGGTTCTGTAAGTCTAAAATGTCATAAAAACTTTAAAATGAAGAAGAAAGTATGAACCCGCGGGCTAGCCCGCAAAACCGTAGAATATAAGCGGGTCAGGATTGGACACATCAATTTGGGACCGCAGCTTATGATGGGCCAGCCCGCCAAACTCAAAAAAAAATTAAACCTGCATCGAATCGGGTTACTTGGACGTGGACCATTAAACCTGCATCGGATCGAATTACTTTGGACGTGGACGTGGACGTGGACGCGGATTGGTCCGTTTGAAATCTCTACACAAAATTAATCAGTGATTTGAATAGGATTTCTTAATTAACGTTTTTGGGCTGAGATACAAGGCCTATAAATAACATTCATTTGGCCCTTAACGATAAATATAAATCGAGTAATCGTATTTACATTAAATGTCCACTACAAATGCCCCGTGGCCTCGGCCTTAATTCATGACTATTATTGACCGTTAGACCCTTGGATCACTGTACCATATATGTACTCCTACTAATCCATTTGGACAGTTTTCTCTAGCATTGATTCCAGAGCAAAATACAGCTTTACCGGATTAGAAAATGAAGACCGGTTTGATATGATGAAATCAAATATTTTTATGCTGTATGCAGAATTAATTCAGCCATAAAGACACCAGATACAACTGAGATTTTGTTATTTATGGTTCTTGCTTATAATTGAATGGGATTCTTGCTTATGATTGAGTGGGATTCTTGCTAGCTACACTTATACTTGGTTTTGAATTTTTGTTCATTTGTTTAAATAAGAACTTGAAAAACCAGAGTAATTAGGTACCCAAAAGACCATTGATGGTGACTTGAAATACATAGAGGTTCTTACTATAGGCTCTAGTTCAATACAAGTTTTCAGGTGAGCCATCCCAAGGGGAAGAGTCGAGAAGGTCTTGAGTTGGAGCATTGGCGGTTGCGTTTCCAACACTAGAATGTTAATTTTGCTACTTCAATTCTTTTGATCCAATTTTCTTTATATTCCCCCTCTTTTTTTAGTTTTGTTTTTCTTTGATCTTTTGAACTTATTAAAGCTTTGAATTTATAAAACTCAAATGTGAAATTATGTTTGTGATGAGATCTATGAGATAGATTACTAATCAACTTAAATTGTGAGAATTATGAAAGTGCATGGCGTGTTTACCATAAAGGCAAAATGACTTGTAACTACAACCTAAAGAATAGATTGAAGTTTTGATATCTTATTATTCTTTACATGTACTACCAATCTAAGGTATAAAAATTAGTGAGAATAATTTGTGCATTGAAAGCATATAGGAATGAAAGAACAGGTAAGGTTGGGTGGTCCAAATGTAAGCCATTATTGTTTAAATGTTTGGCATAAGAGGGGAACAAGGAGAATATCTATTTGACGTTTGTAGTTACCAATCAATCTCTTATCTTATGTCGTTTCTATCATATCCTAACTTGGAGTTGTGGCTGTGCAGTGTGCATTATATTTATATAATTAAAATTAGTATTTCTCTTTAGTTTTACCAAATTGCTTTTAAATCCCAGTCAAACCTAAGTGTTTCTGATGTTTACATGACTATTGGTCAAGTCTTTTTATTGGTCGCCTCATAGGTTTTTGACATTACCAAACTCTAGAATATCATGGTTTTTTCTTACTACATCTACATACACTTATTTTTGCTCATACTGTTTATACAAATAACAAAAGAAATATTTCGTACAAAGTATCAACATCATCTTCTTTTATTTTAAGTCATTTAGATTTCTTTTCTTGTAAATTTGTGACGATATATAATATTATTTGTATATGTACGTGATATATCATTTACAAGTGCAAGACTTTACACAAAATAATATATTAGGAATACGTTCATGGCAATTTACATATTACACCTCTCATTTAACATTTAATATACAATTTCTAACGTAATATGTTTTAAATATCAATGTTAATTATATTAGAACAGAAGAGTACTTTGTAAATGTTGAACAAATCTCCAGGAAAAAGAAACATGGTTGAATTAAATTTTTAGTCAATAATGTATCACCAGCAAAAACAACACTAAAATTTACAACTATATTTTATTGTTTTTAACAATTCTGTCATTTTTATTGCTTTTTTGTTTGCTATTAAGAATTGCTTTTTGTTAAATTATTACTGCATATTGGAATATAAGTATGGTTTATAAAATAAATATATTATATAATATGAAAAAGGCAAAATAAAATAAACAATTAACAAATCTTTTAATAGTAGACAGAGGTGACGTAAAGCAAGGGAGAGAGAGTGAGTGAGAGATTGTAGTTTGTCTCCCTCTACAATGACGTCTCACAACCTCACCTTTTTCTCCTATATTCTCTCCTCCCTCTTTTTTTATGGATGCACATTTCTCCTACATAAAGTCATAAATACATATATGCATACATGCACATATATATATACTTGCGTATGTATCTACGTGATGGTGTGTATTTAACAGTGCTGAGCAAAACCCTAACCCTATATATCTGCCACTAAACTGAACCTGTGAATTTTCTAGACGTTGAAGCTTACAATGAATTACGCGATATGATTTTTCGGCGCTCTAAAGACTAGTATTAATCACATCCCTTAACTAATATACGTGGAGAAAAATATATAAAAAATTCTCGCTCACATCCCTTAATTAATATACGTGGGGAAAAATATATAAAAAATTCTCGCTCCATTTTCAATAATAGATATTTCAGAATATATATTTCTGAAAAAATTAGTTTTTCTATGTTTTTTTTTTGGTAAAAGGGCCTTTGTTTCTTAAGTGGAGTTAATAATTTTTTCTTAATTTCCCATATTACTTTAATTAATTTTTTTAAAAATATTAATAAAAATTAAGAGTGAATGTAATTACACATCATTTCTTAGATGTAAAAATTAGAAAACATCTACTAATTAGAACGGAATAAATAACTTTTTGTTTCTTGCAGGAAACATTAATTTACCTTTTCTGGTAAATAAAATAATAATTTACTATTTTTAGTTGTTATCGAAACGAAAACAAAAGAGAAAAAATTGACCAAAAAAAAATAGTAGTGCCAATATTCAATAAGGAGGTGTAATTTAAAATGTCATATTACGCCAAAATATGTGATTTTGATTTTTGTGGGTACGGTGATATTCTTTCACGGGGAACCCTATGGGCTGTGGCCCTAGTATGATTTGAAGGTTACCATAATGGATATATATATATTATATCCATTATATATATAATGGATATAATGGATATATATATATATCATCGCTATCGTCATAATCAAGCATCATGTTGTTGAAGATGGTATCATCATCACCGTTATTGTTTCTCTGTCAAATCATGGTTGGACCACGTCCACGAAATAGATATGGAGTATAAGGTATCAAAATTCAAGAGTAATGTACATTTGATGTTATAAGAAACAAATTGTATAAGAAATGTTTGGTGTTCGCTAATCTCCATCTAGTTTTTGGTGTTGGGTCTCTAGTTTACCAAAGATCTATTTTACTGAAATTGAGAAAATGTGTACGTATTGTTATGGACTGGTTCCAAGCCCCAATCTCTTTAAAAAACCCTTTTCAAAATTAGAAAAACTTTTGACAACAAAAAAATATTAAGAAAAACTAAAAGATTTGATCTCACATTATTCTTCTAAAAACGTAGACTTTGATAA